TTGCAGTTATCTTCAATGGAATGTAGCCATCTTTCAATAAACAAGAATGTTTCCACCTATATGCATAAGGTCTTCCATATATGCAGTAGGTTCTTCTCATGTGCAAAAGTTTTCCATATATGCAAGTAAGCATTTGTTATATGCAACTATCTTCCTTAAATATCTTTTTGTTTCGGGTACAAATGACATCAAGGAGATACAGCTGATCTTCTCTTTATATGCAACCATCTTCAATACTCCCTACATATGTTGAAGAAATTTGCACACATAAAATCTCATTGCATATAAATGAAGACTTATTGCATTCAATTGCAGATACCTTGCATATGAGTTAAGAATGTTTCAAGGCCTCGGTGTCATCAATTTTTCATGATAACCCATACGTATATTTGAATAAATTAAGCATTTAGAGCCCAAGGGCACCCATTTATTCGAATATATTCTATCGTTATCACAAAAAACTCAACACTCTTTATCTACACATGTGAAAATTGGTTGCATATGGTTGAAGACTTATTGCATTCGACTGCAAAATACCTTGTATATAGGTTACGAATGCTTCATAGCCTCTATTTCATCAATTTTTCATAATAACCAACTTGCATATTTGAATAAATTATGTTCAAACTGAAGAATACTAAATCTTCTTACATTAGTTTCTCATGACAATCGTTTAAGATATTCAAATATATATGGGTGTCGAATAATGCACCTTAGACCAAAAGGTATTCAAACTCCAATGCTATCGTTGGTGGAACACTTTATTTTGTCCGGACATTTTCTAAGTTTAATAACAATAATAATAAATAACTAAAAAATATATAAAAATACAAAAATAAAATTTAATCCTTTTTAGGATTATATTTTCAAAACAAAAAATTTAATTTAATTGATAGGGTTTAGTTTTATTTTAGATAATCTTTTGTTGGTTAGAATTTTATTTCTCTTAGTTCATTAAAATAATCAAAAAATATATAAAAATACAAAAAATGAAATCTAATCCTTTTTAGGATTATATTTTTAAAAAAAAAAATAAAATAAAATAAAATAATAATAATGATTTAAAAAAATCAATTTTTTTTACTTAAATCTTTGAAAAATCCTTCAGAAATTATCTCAATCATCCAAAGATATTAGGAACCAACTTTTAAGAGTCAACCTTTTTGAATTTCTTCATTTAAATTTTATTGTCTTCCAAAAAAGATATGCTTGCTTAATTCAAGGTCATATTTTTTTCTCTAATTTTTTAAATTAATAAACATGACTAAAAAGCAAAAAAAGAATTATAGTTTTTTTTAAAAAATAATAATAGATACCGATGGGTTAAATCTTAACCCATCGGTTCCAAAATCTGTTCACTTGGTCAGACGTTATACACAGGAGAAGAAAATGCATAGAACACACAGAAAGAAAGTAGAAGGAGCAGACGAAAGAGACGTAGAAAGAAAAGGAAAACTAGAGTAATAGACCAAGGAGAAGCAAATACAAAGAAAGAAAGCAGAAGGAGCACATATGAAACATGCAATAGAGAAAGTTAAAGAGCAAGGGAAAAGCATTCAGAAGATCAAAAGCATGCACAAAGATCAAGAGAGAAACAGAGATGCGCACACATATAGGCTTTTAACGGGCAGAGAAAGCACCAGCAAAGGAAGAAGAAGCAATCCACGACGACGTAGTGGAAGAAGGGGAAAAAGATGAAAGAAATAGATGCACATGATTAGAGAACAGGGACGATCATTGAGACCAAAGGAGAAATCGATAAATCATTCTTCCTTCCTACTCTATATAATGCTTGCATTCAAGAGGAGGAAGAGGGGGAGATGAGCTTTTCTTTCTCGAGCTTTTCTTTTTGGGAAAGAAGAAAAGCGGAGAGGAGGGGGCGACTGAGAGACTGAGAGACGAGTGTTTTTTCTAAAAAAACAGAGACTGGGAGAGGAAGAGGAGAGAGAGAGAGAGACGAGCTTTTCTTTCTCGAGCCTTTCTTTCTGGAAAAGAAGAAAAACAGAGAGGAGGGGACGACCGGAAAAACTGAGAGACGAGTATTTTTTTTGGAAAAAAAGAGACTAGGAGAGGAGGAGGAAGAGATCAAGACATGCAAGTTTTTTCTTAAAAAAAAAGAGATTGGGAGAGGAAAGGAACTGAGGCAGAGATCAAGGAGGAGGATGCTGAAAAAATGAAGATTCTTGGTCAAAAACGGTGAGATAGATTCAGGATATTAAGGGGGAGAGGACGTGCTACGCAGGTTCTCTAATCTATTTGTTTTTGAATTTGGAATGTTTTCTATTCAATTTTGATGCCTTGATTAGTGTTAGGAACCATGAGAGATTGATGTTTGTTTCAAAAAGGATTCAATATCTTGTTAGCTCTTTGATAAATCCTATGCATGTATATTTTGTTAGAGTGAATAGATGAGAACTTAGGCGCAAGATGATTTCTGCTCTGATTTCTAGCATGAAAACCTTTGCTACAGGGTTATTTATTTTACTTTACTTAATCATATATGTGTAAAGGAATTAAATTGGAAAGATGAATTTTTGGAGGAGTCTTATTTTTCTTTCTTTCTCTTTACTCAAAAAGAAATTCTGATTGTTCTTGATGATGCGGATTTGGGAGATATATTTAAATTAGGATATCAGGAAAATATAAGAACATACTCTCTCTAGTTTTAAAGGTTTGGATAAAAGTTATGGGTTTGAGCCATGTCATTTTATCTTACTAGTATCTTATTTTCTTTTCCAAGTTCTAATGGATCACTATCAAGTTATCTATGAGATTAGCTATGATCTTGTGTTCCTTATTAACTAAAGAATCAAATTTCAAGGTTTTTAGCATTTGGAAGCTTATCACTATGCCTGCTCATTAATTTGGAAAATTTGTTAATTTTTTCATTTAGTGTTGGTTGTTTTGATATATGGAAGGTGCTTATGAGAATAAGTTGCAACGTGATGCCTTGCATGATTTTTACTTTCCCTGGATTTATATATACAAATTTGGTATAATCACGATGTGTATGACTTAGCAATTTCTTTACAAGGGATTGAAATAAAAAATGAAAAAAAATAGAAAACAAGGAGTGAAGATATATTCATATTTTATTTATGGGTCATGTGAAATTTTAAGAGTTTTCACAGACATTTAAAATGATCATCTATTGTGTAATCAATAAGATTTTATAGGTATAAAGATTCAATTTATATATAGTAAACAAGGGTCTCAATAATCCACCATTAAAATTAACTATCTTTTTATAATCTAAATAATTTATTTAAGTTTCATGTGAGATTTTAAGAATTTTCATAGAAACTTAAATTAATCACATTATTGTGTGGGATAATAAGTCCTTGCAGATATAGTGATTCTCAATCTCTATAGTAAATAAGTGATTTTTATAAATAATCATATAATACACAATTTAGAAAAATTAATTAATTAAATTAATGAATTTAAGTTGTAATCACATTTACTGATTATATTTTTTAGTCATGTGAGATTTTTGAATCTTCGTAGACTTTTAAGATAATTGTCTTATCGTATAAGTCAATAAGACTTTGCAGATATAACGATTAATTTTTTTAATATATATATATATATAAATTATATATTAAATTAATTAAATTAAAGATATATTTAAATAAATTTATTTTCTTTATCGTGTGAAATTTTAAAATCTCCGCAGATATTTAGGATAATCATATTATCGTATAAGCTAATAAGTCTTTACAAGTATAATGATTAAGACTCTTTAAAAAAATATATATACATGCTTAAACAAATCATTACTAACACTCAAAAATATAAATAAATTAAATTATTAAACTCTTTTATCGTGTGAGATTTTGAAACCTCTGCAAATATTTAAAACGATTGCATTGTCGTACGAGCCAATAAGGCTCTGCAGGTATAGCAGTTAAATTTTAAATTATAAAAAATGAAAATAATAATAATCTTAAACTCTTTTCTTTCCTTATTCCAAAAATTTAAAAATTGAAAAAATAATTAAGATTAAATTACTTTTTGAAATTTAAAACACACATATTAAAATTTTAGAAATTATTTTATTTGTAAAATGGTGAATTATTTCTAATTAATTTCTCTTCAAAAAAATATTTTCACCAACAATTTTCAAGTTTGAACTACGTGGACTTTGATCCCCATCATAAGGTATGTAGGTCTCAGAGTCTGATTCTGAGTCAAGTCCTTCCTTGTAAATAAATAAATATTTCTCACTTAATTCTTATCATTTTTATATCAAACACATAAATATAAAAGGGATAATTAAAATAATTTTAAAACTATTTTAATATAGCACAACAGACTCTAGGTAACCATTCTCACGAACGGGTATTATAGGGTGCTTAACACATTTTCTATACTCAATCAATTCTCGAACCTGTTCTTTATTTTTACAGATTATTCTTATCCTCCTTTAATTGATTTTCCAAGATTTTCTCCAAAATTTTGGTGACGACTCCCATTTTATCTGGTTCCCGCCGCAAAGGTCGGAACTTTTGTTCGTGCGACGTTCACGTCGCATTTTTCCAAATGCGACAATTGGTGTTGCTTGGGTACTGTTGTTGCCTTGATTACTCCTCAAGTCTTTGAGAAGCTAACAAGCTGCCAGTTGCTACCAATTCTTCATCTTCTTTGTTTGTTCGTTCCACTGCCTGTGAAGTTTCTTTGGTCAAGCATTCTTTTTCATTTTCAAATTTGATTTTTCAAGGGTATTTTGATCTTTTAATGTCATTACATTATTTACACAAAAAGACCTTGTTTTCTAAAACTCTCGGATCCCTTTTTAGCAATTAATTTTTCGGAGAAGTCTGATGGCCAATTTTCCCTATAGTCAAAGGTTTGAATTATTTTTTATTATTTTAAAAAATATAGATATGAAAAAAATATAAAAAATTGAGAATTAGACAAAATAGGAAGAATTTTTTCAATATTATTTGAGCCAGAAGAGTTGAGCATAAAAAAACGAATAATTATATAAAAATACATTCTCGTGAGATCGCCAAAATACATTCTCCTGAAGAGTAGCGGATCCATTTCTCTTCGTCGACGAACAAGCCTTCCACGCTTTGTTGGATGCCATCCACTGTCGTTAGCCCTGCGTGGTTGTTCTCGGGCAAGCAGTGAAGAAGGTTCGAAGCCTTGGGCTTTTTCTGCTATCAAAATCCGGTGAGATTGATTTGTTCAATCTGGCTTTGAATCTAGATTTGAATATGTTCCCCACGTCATCTGCTCCCCGCGTGGCTGTTCTTGCTATGTTTTAAATTTTTCATTTTAATTTGGCTTTGAATCTGGTTGTTTAGTGTAATCTTTTGAATATTGACGTTTTTTAATTTGGGAATACTTACATGTTCTTGTTTTTGTTGTACTAGTTTTTGCTTGGATGGTGTGTAATTGGCTATCTTTAATCGGCTTCACTCGTTGATTGCCACAGATAAGGTCGAAGGTCAGGGATAGTAAGCAAGTAGTTTCTTTAAACCTGTAAGGTATGGGTTGTTTACTTTATAGAGTAAGGATTCTCTGTTTCTGTTCAATTCCCGGGCTGCCCTAGCCATCCACTTCCCCTTGACCACACGCTCCCTTGTAGCTCTATTAAAGACTTCTATTCTCTATATAGGGAGGTGTATGTGGGCTGAAGACCCTCTCCAATAGCTTAGGAGGATCGAGCTACTTTCTACTTGGATTTTGATGTTTTGCAATGTTGGATTTGTTGTGTATTGGCATTCTGTTCATTAATCTTTTTATATTATCATCAATTCGGGAAAATTCTCTAGCTATTTGTGATATATGATCTTGTAAATGACTTGGCTTGAGTTGTGTCAAAGTATCTGGAGCAAAATTTAAAAGGGTATTATATCAACTATGCATATTTCAGAGATTTCAGTGGTGTGGTATTGGTTCGCCTATGATTGCAACTGCTACTATTAGTGCCTGATCACTCCTTTAAGTTTGACTTTGGCCTCATGTTTTTATTGAACTGGAGACCCCTTTAAAAAAAAAAAAAAAGCGGCAAGTGCTAAGCTCTCCCTCTCCCTCTCGTGCTCCCCTGGCCCTCTCTCTCTCTATAAGCTAAGAACTTTTTTTGGGACTTGTAACAGAGCAATTTAGCTGTAATTGTATGCTTCCTGATGCTTGTTATCCTGCATTCTTTTTTATGTTCATTATTTTATTTTTATATTGGTTAATCCTAGGGGTTTGGTCAATTTCTATGCACTAATGCATGGGACATTGCTCTTTGGTTGAGTAACTGATAATCAGTCAACTCTACAAAGTTCTGGCAGCACCATCCTTTGTATGTATAAAGCATTTAGCTTGTGTAGTGGTACTAGAATTGGCAATTGCCTGTAATAGAATTCACCTTCATTCAAATGTGATGACTTTCATTTTCAAACTTGTGTATTTAGACGCATCAAATATGAATTCCTTTTGTTTTTTTCTCCTTGCATAAGATTGTGCTTGTCATTATATTTTTAACCTCTCATATTCTCCTTTGCTATATATGCCCTGTCTGCTATTCCTTTATATATTTTCCCTTTGCTCAATGTAGCTTTTTTATTCTCTCATGTATGAATAAATGTCTGGGAAATTGTTTCTTCAGTGTTGCTGTTGACACAAAAAAAAAAAAAAAGGTTTAGTTGCCAGTTCTACCTTATTAATTAGTCTTGTCCTCACAATTTTCATTTATTTATTTTCCTGGCATGTTTCATTATAATGATGTTTTGAAGTCACTTTGTAGTCTGTTCTGCCTGTCGCTATTGCCCTCACTTGTTTGTGGTTGCTTACCCCTCTCTCTCTTTTACTCTTGGATTTGTGTTCTTTTGATTAGACACGTTATTCTTGTCTTCTTAAATGTGTCACTTTGTGCCAAAGTTGGTAAGCTGTTTGTGGTTGCTTTGTGGATGTAATTACTTTAGTGAGTAGTTTTAAACTTTTAGGTTAAATGGAAGCTGCTAAAAAGCTTGACCCAAATTTCCTGTTTTGTAGATACATTGATTTAAGATGCTTCAACACCAAATTGTGCAATCCCCTGCGCGACTAGGCCTTACAAACCCTAATTCACCCTCCATCCAAAACCCCACACCTCCCAAGCTTCCTCCATCCCAATCCCTTCACCATCAACCCCACCAGCAGCCCACTTCCAATGCTCCATCCCCTGCACTCCTCTCTCTGCTCCCTCCTCTCCCTAGAGCTCAGGCTCTTCTTCTCCAAATGGCTTCTTTGGCTTCTAAGCTCTTTGAAGTATCTCCCAATAGATCCCTTTGGCTCACCTTCCGTGGATCCCTCCCCAATTTCCTTTCTTCACAAACCCAACCAGCGTCTTCTACCTCTGTGGAGTCTTCTCCTTCCTCCACCAAGGAAATTCTTTCACTTTTCACATCTCTTCAAACCCAAATCTTTGAAGCTGTTGCAGAGCTCCAAGAAATTCTTGATCTACAAGATGCTAAGCAGAAGGTTGCTCGAGAAATTAAAGCCAAAGATGCAGGGATGCTTGCATTTGCCAATAAACTCAAAGATGCTGAGCGGGTTCTTGACATTCTCGTTGATGATTATTCTGATTATCGCCGGCCAAAGAGATTGAAATCAGGAGAGAGCAATGAGGATGATTCTTTGAACTCAACAACGGTCTCAACTCAGTTAAAGCTATCTGATATACTATCATATGCCCATAAGATAAGTTACACAACTTTTGCGTCACCAGAATTTGGAGCTGGGCAAGCTCCTCTTCGAGGTGCACTTCCCCCTGCACCTCAAGAGGAGCAAATGCGAGCATCTCAGTTGTATAATTTTGCTGATCTTGATATAGGATTGCCTAAAGTGGTTGAAACTAAGGAGAAAACGATTGAGCCTTTCATTGAGCCTCCACCTCCTCAGCCAGTGCAAACGAATCCACTTGCCAATTTGACTGCAATTCAGGGATTGCTTCCTCCAAATTTTACCATTCCAACTGGTTGGAAGCCTGGAATGCCTGTGGAATTGCCTGTTGATTTGCCAATTAAGCCCCCTCCCGGATGGAAACCCGGGGATCCTGTGCCATTGCCACCAATGGACTCCCTTAATGTACCAGTGTTCAATGAACAACAAGTACGCCCACATGTTCCACTACACAAGCCGCCTGAAGTTATTCAGGTGCAGCCTGTGAATTTGGATCTTGGAGGGAGTGATAGCAGTGATTATAGCAGTGATGAAGCCAGCTCTGATGATGAAGATTGACAAGTACATGAGGTGATAGTTTTCAAGGCACTAACTGAATCGTAACAGTTATTCAGCTTGCTTTATTTTACCTGACTGAATGAATCCCCGGCTGATCATTTCCCCTGAGATTTGAAATGGTCATTGCAACCAATTTCATGTCATGTGTCCAATGGTAAGTGGTCCTTAATGTCCGTCAAAGCTGGTAATTCTTGGACACTTGGTCATTCGTGTTGCTCTTACATAGTTGTTTCATGTCACACACATTCTAGAATTGCAATTAATATTCCCTCATGAAGGAAGCATCTATTACTTATCAGTTATCTCGTTGATATTTTGTTTGGATCGCATTGTTTTCTGATAATTAGTGTCTGCTTCACTTTTGCCAGTTATTATTAGAGTCATGTTATTCTTGGCAAAACTTGAACGAATTTTTAGGATTGTAATTCAGGGAAACAAGTGCATACTGTTATTTATGCACTGGAAAAGTTCTCCTTCAATTATCATCAAAATTAATGTATCCTTCAGTTTGTCAGTTATTATCGCCACATGTTCACCAGAAGTCTTGGAAATCTCTGGCAGGATTCAGTTGCACAGGGAAAGACAATGCAGCACAGAAATAATACAGAGATTTCAGTTGAATAAACGTTAATTAAGATGTCTAATTGGAGGCATTAGTTGTTCGTGGGTGTTATCAAATCTATGCATAGATTTGATTTTCTTTTTTTACCCGTCTACCGTATTTAAAATACTTTTTTCTTAATCAAATCTGTTTGTAGCAGACGTTTTCACCCCCATCTTTTATTTGTTCATATTATTTTCATGCAAGCTTGAATTTGATGAAATGAGACTGGGGAGATTAAAATTGATTTTTCCGGAGACAGATGTTTGTACACGGAACCTGTTATAGATAAATAGACGATGAATAGAAAGTAGGAAGACACCAACTTAAAATAATAAATAAGGAAGATGAATAAATTACTTTCGGTCTAACAATATGATAGCTTTTGAATTTATTTATTGTATAAATTATTCTTTACAAAAAGTTAACTTTAATACAAAAGAATAAAAAAACTTATAGAAAATTTTAAAAATTACAATAAAGGATATATAAATTACAGAAAATGATCAAAATTTTTTTGATCACTTTCTGTAATTTTTAGATCATTTTTTATTATTTTTTTTGTTAATTAATCATCAAAGTTATATTTTTTTTGTGAAAGTTAATTTTTATTAATAGAAGGTAGATTGTATTATTTTTAAAAATTGATGAAATAATTTACATAATAAATGAGTTTAAAATTTATAATGTTATTAAATCTAAAGTTTAAAGAGTAATTTGTTAATTTACTCTAATAAAAATAAAATTTTTTCATTTTTTGGGAACTAATCTAATTATGTGACTTATTCAGAAGGAAAAATTGAAATTTAATTATGTAACGTAATAAATGAATTAATAATTATATTAATGTTATTTTTAGATATGTTTAAATTAAGTGGAGAGTTGAATTTGGATGTAAACTAAATTCATTATTTGGACATAAAATTTTATGGATTTAAAATTCTTTTAGTAGTTCAAATATCTAATCTACCTTAATTATTAAAATTTCAACTATAATCTTTTAATATTATCAAAACATGTATTCTCTCTGTTTAAAAATATAAGGCATTTTTTGAGCAGTTAAATGTTAAAAAATATAAGACATTTTTAATTTTTTGATGTGTAATCATTGTTTTTTTTCTTTCAAAAGTGTCCTTATTGATGAATAACTTTATATTTATTGTGGGACGTTTAATAGGGATAAATATGAAAAGATAGGGTTAGTTAAAAAGTAGATAATTACTTTATTGAGAGATAATATTTGATTAAAAATGTTTTAGATTTTTAAATAGAGGAAGTATATCTTTTAATACTCCCTTCGTATCAAATTATAGGACACTTTTAGATAAAATTTTATATATCAATAAACTTTATTAAATATATTTAACAACTTTATCTTTTCAAAATAAAAATATAAATTTTTAAAAATATCCATCATCTAATGCATTGAAAAAAGAAGGGATGAAAATTAATTGTAGAAAGAGAAAGGATAATATTGTAATTAGTACATTTAATAAAATCTTAATCTACTAAAAGTGTTTTATATTTTGGGATAAAAAAATTCCTTCAAAAGTGTTCTATAATTTGAGACGGAAGGAATATTATCAAAACATGGGAACAAGTTATATATATAGACCAATTCATTTTTATTGGTTTGAGTTTTGTATGACACTAAAAAATTTAAAATATATGATTTTTAAATTTTAAACGTAAATTTAGATTCATCTATCCAAATGTTAAAAAAAATTCAAAATCTATTTTTTTAAAATAATCATTTAATTACCATACTTTTGATTGGACTATAATTCGGTTCTAGAAATTTAGTTCAACATAGTCTTCAAATTTTAACTATTTAATCGATTAGTTTTTACACTTTATGTCTCACTTACAATTCAATTTTTGAAGGACTTAGAAAATTTATTAAAAGTATAGGAACGTACTGATTAAATAGTTGAATTGTAATGAAATTAAAATTATAAGAATTATATGATCAAGTTTTTCCAATTTAAATTTGAAATTAATTTAGACATTTTCAAAATTATCATTCACTCTCTCTAAAATTATAAATTATACATAAGCTTATATTTATAATATTTTTAATGACTAAAATACCTGATTTCATATGTTCATAAAAAATATTAGGCAAAAAAATACCTATCATCATTTATGTCTCTATATTTTGCTCATATTTTATTATTAATTTTTGTATTTTTTCAATATTTTTGATTCTTGTACTTTTATTTTTATTATTTTATGTTTTTAAGGTCCCTATACTTTATTAATAGAGAAACTTAAAGTTACGTTTTCTTTTAAATTGTATATAAAATTTTATTTTTAATTATTTAATTTTATAAAATGTATTTTTAATTCCCTAATTTATTTATAGGGAAACATTAATATTAAGCTTTTAAATGTTGATAAAATTTTAAATGTTAAAATATTAAATTTGATTTTTTAAAATAACAAATGATTGATAAAAAAAATCATCAGTCAAGACTAATGGCACTGGAGAACTAAAAAAATTTATAAAATTAATAGATCAAACCAACAACTTATATAAAATTAGAGATCAGATGTGTATTTTGCCAAAATCATAATTAGGCAAGCAGCCTTTCCTTTCAAAGCATGGCATTGTTGTTATTTTATCATTCCTCGGTGGCAATTTGCCTTAGTCAGACGACCCCGAAGCCCACAAACACGCTTTGGACACAAGAAAGCAAGTCGCGTATCCTAGTCCTGTTCGGTTCAACGCAAATGTGACCTATGACTACAAATCCAACAGAAATCAAAAGAGCGAGAGAATTTGAGGGGGGGAGAGAGAGGTTTTCAAGTTTCAACGGAAATGTCGAACCTCTATTGCAATGGTACTGATCAGATTCAAGTTCTCTCTCAATGCAGATTCCTTTCGCCGTCCAGAACTCTTCCCGATTGCTGGATGAACACCGTCGTCCACTGCCCTCCGTTATCCAAAACTTCTCCTTTGTCTGCTGTCGTGTCTGACCGGGTAGGGTTGATGTCTGAATGCGTGGTAAACGGGGTCGAAACGAGTTCTGAGACTTTGGCGGATCGATTGCGGCTTGGGAGCTTGACAGAGGATGGGTTATCTTACAAGGAGAAGTTCATTGTGCGGAGTTATGAAGTTGGGATAAATAAGACGGCCACTGTTGAGACCATTGCCAATCTTTTGCAGGTTTCACTTTGTTTCGCAATGCATTTCGGTTGCTTGATTTAATTGTGTGTAAGGTGTTTTTCAGTAACTGAATATTTTGTCATGTGCATTTGTGAGTTCTTTTGCAAGGAAATAACTATTTTTTGATTGTTACATTTTGCCGGTATTGCTGTTTGATGTCATCATAATTTTTGGACATTTGGATGACACTGATTTCTCTGGTATCGAGGTTGTGGCTTTTGAAATAATGCTGCTCGTGCAGGACTCGGACTCGAGTTTGACGAAACAAGTTTAAACCGGGACTAGTTGCATTCGGAACCACTATGCAGTTTTGGCCAGTTGTGTTTAGAGGAGTGTTGATTGATTGACCCAATAGTGATTATCTTCTCTCTTCATTGCCTTTCTTTGAGCTGCTATAGTGCTTCCTTCAATTTATGATGCAGTTTTTTGAATTGTTGCTGGTGGAACGATTTATCAACTCGTTCTTTTCTTTATCTTCTGAGTAGTTGCATTGAGTTGTGTATGTTGCATGTGGCTATAACTGCAGGTCTACTGAGTTCTTAATATAGGAACTTCTACGGTTCAGTCTATTAAACTGGGCATTCTGGATTTTAATGTCTGCCTGCATGCCATTATTTACAAAATGTTTTATTGCTGGTGAATGCTGTTGCTAATAAACATAGTTGCCAACCAATGATAATATGTAAGGTAGCTTTCATCTTGTTTTGAACTTACATATAGTTGTAGATATATGCACCTTTATACTTTTATTTATCTTTTTAAGATATAGCCTGACATGTCTAAATGGGGGAACTGAACTTACCTGGTGTAGATGATTATTAATTTATTTTTTGGCATGTCACTATTAACATCACCAGTGACTTTGTGTGATACAGGAGGTTGGATGTAATCATGCTCAGAGTGTTGGATTCTCGACAGATGGGTTTGCAACGACCACTACTATGAGAAAGTTGCGCCTCATATGGGTGACTGCTCGCATGCACATTGAAGTTTACAAATACCCTGCTTGGTAGGTTTTGTTGTTTATCATGACTGAGATTATGTTATGAATTCAAACGTGGAAACATCTAACTTGAAGATACAACAGGAGTGATGTTGTTGATATAGAGACATGGTGTCAAGGGGAAGGGAGGGTTGGAACTAGACGTGATTTTATAATTAAAGACTGTGCCACCAATCAAGTCATTGGAAGAGCAACAAGGTGCAATTTTCCTCTTGAAATTGAATGAGACTGACATTGGTAGAATTTACCCTTGGTGGATGGCTCTTTACAGACAATAGTAGTCTAGTGAGATTTTCTAGCATGTTCGTTCATAGGAATGACTGGTATTTTATTTCATGGTAGCCTTTTGGTCTGATATATTACTATTAGCTGTTTATTTTATGCTTTTTGAAGGTGGTCCTTCCTTGAATTCCCCTCAATTTCTCTAATTTTCTCAATCTATTGCCTCAATTAAACTCATAGTCACTTATATTTTGCTTTGCTCGACTCTATCAGCATAACCTTAAGCCATTGTTCTTAGGCATGAATCATTACATCTTTAGACTAAAATGGTGAAACTTTTTCTGCTACCTATCATAATGTAGGACCAGCTTTATGGCCAAATTTTTTTACTTGGCTGAGATAGCTTTTTTTTTGGCCAACATCCCTGACTAACTGTTTTATATAGCATAGGAGTAATAAAGCAAATGCTGAAGAGGGTATCCAAATTCTGCTTTTGGGCAATAATATTAAAATTTGATCAGTTGCACTAATATTCTGCCACATTTAACTATCCTATTGTTTCAGACGCTTTTTATAAAGCTGATCATGTAAATTTTACTGTTTTAGCAAATGGGTAATGATGAATGAGGACACCAGACGACTCCAAAAAATCTCTGATGATGTTCGAGAGGAGTATCTGATTTTCTGTCCACGTGAGCCTAGGTAAGAACTTTATATATACCTTATATTGCATGTGACTAGACGTCAAAAAGCTTGTGTGTCGGAATTGATTTTTCTTTGTAAAAAAAGCTTCTTGTTAAAAACTTCTTTTTCTACAGTATAGACATGGATGCAAGGAATTTTTTTATGCTTCATATTTTTGTTTTTGTCCCCATTGCCTCCGCCTATTTTCTTTCTTTTTCCCCTTGTGAGCTGGTTCATGGTGGATCATGACTGTCTGACAGCAGAGAAGAAATGAAATTCTCTGACATAATACTATTATTGTGCATAAGTACGTAATTATATGCCAAAGAATTTACCTAAAATAGAGACCTTGCAAAATTACAAGTGACAAGGAAACTAAAAACCTGGAAATAAATCAGGAATAATTAGGCTAGTAAAGGAAATAAAATTCCTAAATTAGTAGGATAAGTTGTGGCCAGTCTCTCCTGGAATTCTGGGTATGGAAGTTCATCCTTCAGTTGCAGGACCCGTATTGGAGTTTTATTTTTTCTCTTTGAAGGGAATTATGGAATATGAACAATCTTTGCTTCCTCAGTTATAATCCTAAAACCACTAATTGCCTATAATAATCTAGTGTCCTGAGAGTCATTGTGAGCTTGTCCTGTGTTGCATGGTGAGAGTTTTAAGCTCTTTAAGCTTGGGAGAAATAGATTCAGACTATTGGCTTGGCTTATATATTTGGGCCATATGGTGTTGGCAGCTGCCATTCTAGTGCTTCTCCTTCTCTAATTACAATACCATGATCCGCAGCCACTATTGGCTAATTTAAAAGCTAATAATAACTATTTTTCTTTTTCCTTGTTATTTTTATTCTTAGGTTATCATTTCCTGAGAAAAATAATAATAGCTTGAAGAAGATTCCAAAGCTGGAAGATCCTGCTCTATATTCCAGACCAGGACTTATGGTATGATTATTTGACCATCTAAACTCAACTTTGTTTTTGTTTTTTGGTTTGGAAAAAGAGGGGATGACATCACTACACAGATTTTGATATTTCAAGACTCGGGAGCCTGAAGATCTTACTTTGCTTTTGAATTTGCAGCCTAGAAGAGCAGATCTGGACATGAATCAGCATGTTAACAATGTCACATATATTGGATGGCTCCTTGAGGTTACTAATAATTTTTTTTTTAATTACTTCTGATATATATAGTGGACATGAAATATGATGAGAAAACTGCTTTGTCATAGTAAAGATACGCTCCTCTCATTGTTAAAAACAGGTGTCCTTACCAATGTGTCTGGACATGTCAAATTGGAGCATGGTTTATTTTGGTCAGGACTCGCTCCTATAATTTTCAATAAACCAGCATGCTAGTCCATGGTATATCCCTCATAGAAGCATTTATCTGATATATAAAGGCAGCTGTGTGCTTTTCTAGGCCTCATATTCTCCATCATCTATGTTTGTTACTCATTCAAATGGTCCTGTGTGTGGCTGGGAATCACTTGATAAGTGTTCGAAACGGTACTCTACAGATGAATAGTTCTCATTTATGTACTTCTACGTTTGTGCTTTTAGGAATACTTTGCTGGCTCAAACATTCATGATTCGCTCACAATGTCTTGCCTTTAAAGCTTGTTTGATGAATAACTTACTGGAAATCAGGCTTCATTTCACAGAAGAAATTTTTATTTTCTTAAGTAGTCTAGGTTTTGCTTCTGGGAAAGTTAAAGTAGTGGAGCAATGTGTTTCCTAGTAAATAGATAAATAGGGGTTAGTTACAGGGGTTAATAGGTAGTTAGGATGGATAGTTGATTAGTGTCTATAAAAGGGAATAAAGGGTCATTGTAATAAGTGAGTTTGGACTAATGGAATAGTATTAGGTAGCCTTTGAATTAGTGAATTTGGATTTGAATTTTAGATTTAATATCTTACATTTAGAATCCTTGTATTTAAAATCTTTTACTTGGGTAGTTTAAAAATTTTTAAATGAATAACAGAGATGATTAGTGAGCTGAAATTTGAAATGAAAATGCAAAATTGGGAGTGATGGATTTATCTCTATTTTTCAATTGATGAGAGGCGATAACAAGTGATGAGAGAAGATACCAGAGTCATAAATGTATTAATAGTGAAAATGCCAAGAGATCAAGAGATTTGAAGTGACAAGAATTTTTAATGACTAGTGTAAATGGGATTTGAAATTATAAAGGAATTATAATAAGACATTGTCCAAATCCATAAACTTTTGTGTATCTAAATGAGAGATTTGATTCAAATCCAAATTCAAATTCCTATTAATCTAGGCAGGATTTGAAATTATAAAGGAATTATAATAAGAAATTGTCCAAATCCATAAACTTTTGTGTATCTAAATGAGAGATTTAGTTCAAATCCAAATTCAAATTCCTATTAATCTAAACGCACCATTTGTTTCTTTTTTCTTGTTCCCTCTCCTCTTGGTCATGTTAGTGTAGTTATCTGATACAGCATTTATGCAATATATTGGAACAGAGATTATGTTGTATATAGAATATTTCTGTTCTTTTCTTGCTAATTTAACCCTATTAGGTTGGCACGTTGATTTAGGTTTTTTAGATCTTGCAGGTGTGGAAATAACTAATCAATTTGGCTGGACATGTTCTTATAGATCCATCTAAGTGGCAACCTGTTAAAGTAACTAGCAACTGAAACATTTCAATATTTTAAAGAACTAGAATATTGAACACCTTTACTAACAAATATTAGTTTAGTTGATAAGGATTTGGCTCAAAACCCACAAGATTGTGCGTTTAAATCCCACCACTGATGTGAGGATTTTATTGATGGATAATTTATAAGTACCTCTGTTAGCGTTCTGAGTTAGGAGACATGCTTGGGCCTTGGTAAACTTTGCTGTTATGAAAAAAAAAAAAAGAATATTGAGCAACTTTTTTTCCTTTTCCTTTTCTTTTTTACTTATACCAATTTAGCTTTAGCCATACATACACTATATACATGTACACATTTTATAGGTAACCTAAATTATTAGTTCCATAACAAAATGTGTCTTCGTTGCAACTTGCAACACTTCTTTTGTTGTGCTGACACGGTGTTTTACGTTGTCAGAGCATGCCTCAAGAAATCATTGATAGCCATGAGTTGCAGAGTATTACCCTGGATTATAGACGAGAGTGCCAACAGAATGATGTAGTTGATTCGCTCACAAGCTTGGAACTACCTGAGGGCAGCGAGGCAGTTTCCGAGCTCCAAGGCACAAACGGATCCACCATAACAACGGAAGTTCAGCAAGACTGCAAGCAGTTTCTACATCTTCTTAGATTGTCTAGTGATGGCCTTGAAATAAATAGAGGAAGAACAGAATGGAGAAAGAAGGCACCAAGAGCGTGAAGATGAGAATAACCATTAATTAGTCTGCCCACACTCATTGCTTGATCTGATTCTGTTAGTGTTTCTTTCCTTTTTACTGTATTGTAATTTTTCCAGGATTTTCCTTTTTCTTAGATTGAAATGGTACACTAATTCCTATAGTTAGGTTGAATAGGAGTAAATATACAAGCCAATGGCCACAGATTCCATGAATATCGTTAAGCTTTACTTGCACGACCTATAAATTAAACTTTGTTTTCTCTCAATTGTTTTCAAATAATTCAGTTCGCTTATGTTTAGCCATTTTGTTAAGTTTATTGTATCAATAACCAATATTATTGCTGCTGAAAATTATGGATGTGGTTCCTGTTGGGCTCTCCAAATTAGGGCTTTGTTTTTTCCTTGGGGGAGGTATTTGGAATCAACATTCAATATCGAATAGAATTATGTCTACAGGACATCTGTTTACTGTATGAAATTTATAATGAATTATAAACCATATGACTTGTACAAAGCCTTGAATTTGTGGTTGAAGTATCACTCAACTCTTGAATATGATTATAGCGAGTCATTCATTGGTTTAAAAAATATTTTTCCATTTTTGTATTTAATATATTTTTTTAATAAGTAGTATTATTTTTTGTTCATAATAGAGTTAGGGTTTAATTTTACATCTGTATCCAATCTTGATGTTTTGACCCTTTTTGACTCGATGCTGCCATCCCTTACGTTTTTACCAGCGACAGAATTGTTAACTAGACCTTAACATTTCTCTTACAGAGTTTTCTAATCCTTTGGTGTTTACCCCAACACAGCCTATTCTTCAATCATTCATTCGTTTGCATCCTCACCCTCCTCAATTCGTTGATCTGAATATAGAATCCACCATCTTCCTGCTGCTTTCACCAAAAAGTACCTTCCGTTTTTTTTTTTTTTTCCCATGCCAATCCATCGTTCTCATCGTCTTCCTGAGCCTTCATCCTCTGGATTTACCTGAAATGCAGGCTGTTTAGGGACAGTTTAGCATCTGATTCTTCATTTAGCGGTACCCTTTGGTGCTTCCCTTACACTCCACTAGTAAGTAGTTATGAGTTTCTTGAAGATTATGGGCCTCCAAACGTTGCTGAAATTTGGAGTTTCTACTATGTCTGGGTATATCATTGCTGCCGGTTTTGAGGTGCTTGTGTGTTCAGCTTCAGCAAGATGCTTTAGGGCTTTCATTTGAAACCCAGTCCTACAATGATCAGGTATTTAGCGAGGTGATGGAGGATCTTGCTTGTTAATCTGTTATTTTGCTTGATTTTAATTTCACAATCGCGATATTCGGTAGTTTCTTTGGACCGATTGGATTTAAGGAGGAAGATTAAAGGCTTTATTATCTCGTATTAAGCCTGCTTCTTCATTTGTTTTTTTGGTTCTGGGTTCGGAGGTTTTGGTTTGAATCTCTGGTGGCAGATTTCATTGATTGAAGGTAATAATGTATTAAATTTTGGAACGCAAAAGGGGAAACTTCTTTTTTAAGCTGCTTTGTAAGAGAAAGAGCGGTCGACAGCCAAAGCGAGGACGAGTTCCAAGATCTGATGCTCTCCTTAATTATAAGATCCAGGCGTGAAAAATCAGAAGAGAATCGTGCTCTCGTCTTCTTCGTTCTTCTTTTCCCTCCAATCCAGCGGTGCCCACATTTGGTCTTGGGCATGGCTGAAACATCCTCGTTCTCAACGGCAAGCAGTAGAAGAAAGGTTGCATCAATTTTTTTTAATAACCGGACCACACAATAAACTAGAAAGATCAATGGATCAAGGGTTTTATGGTTAGACTGGTGGTTGAACTGATAATATAATAACTAAGTAAAAAATAATATTTATATACACATACTAAAAAATGGGTCAAAATAATTCAACTTTTTTGGGTCTTGGGTTTTTGTTACGAGTTCCCGAGTTAAAGCTGACCAATCTGAGTCAACTGTCAGAAAGAACCAAATAATTGAATTGAATCATTTTTTTCTCTAAGTAACGGTTCGACTGGTCTGTCTGTGCAAGTCAATCTAGGTCTAAAAACAATAGATTGCAATACCCCAACCACGTCGTTGGTTTAAAAAAAAAAAAAAAACACACACATAAGGGATGCCAAGCGTTGGGTCAAAAAAGGGTTAGAGCATCCAAGCACAGCGGGAGAATAAACGGTGGAACAGAAGGAAAATTTTGCTCTTCTAAAAGATATATCAAGAAAAGAATGCCTCACTTAATTGTTCAGGATGCCCCATGCTTTTTAAAAATAAGTACATGAGTAAAATTAAACTATAATCTGTATAATAATATATCTTTAAGTATAAATAGATGTAACACAAGCTTTATTTTCTTATGCAAATAACGTAGATGCATTTTAAGGGATCGTTTAGCAATCTCTGAATTACACCCACGCTCTCGTACATAGTTGTGACTTTGATGAACAATAAGTGTGATAATGGAACTTGTAGTTTTTTAAATTTATTTCAATTATTTATTTGGTTCTTCAAAATTTTTTTTATCAATTTGATTCTTTACATTTTCTTAAATTATTATGTTAATTCTTTTGAGTTTTAAAACAAATTGACTGTCAACTTAATCTAATGTATATAGTATATTAATAACTAAGCATGTACATGTAGCCTTAGTTTAATTTTTATTAATCTATTTTCTTATACTTTATTTTGTTCTTTTATTTTTAAAAATTTTTGTCTCATTTTTTTAAATGAATAATTACACTTTTCATTAATCTACATAGTTGCAATCCATATTCTATGATTTGTGTCAGTAAATTTTTTAAGAGTTACTACTTTTTTAAATAATAATAAAAATTAAGTTGATAAAAAATAAATTTAAAGGACTAAATTGATAATTGAAAAAAAACTTTAAAAACTAAAAGTTTCATTATCGCACTGTGTTAAATACTCATTAGGAGAGCTTTATCACTAATATAGTCCTAGCCAGCTTGACTCATGAATAATGATAATTGTGTGTGTGTGTGTAAATTTTCATTATCACACATATATACCTCATGCAATATAATACAATACATTATATATAAATTTTAAAATTTTAGAATATGGCTTGAAACATAAGCATTTGTAATTATGCGGATATTCAATAAATAAACAAATAAAAAATAAATAGTAAATAAATATGTGAGTTTTAAGCAAGTATTTTAAAAGTAATATTATAACAAACAATTAAAATTTTGAGTTTTCTGTATTTGTTGGGACTTTTACACATATAACCTATTTAATAGGACAAAAGAAAGATAACAACTTAACATTTCAAATATTTTGCAATGTGGTTGAATTAATATTTAAGTTAAATTGAAATGATAAAAATACCTATTCTTCTCAAGTATAAAATCTTATTCTTATTCTCAAACCTGAAATATATTATACCTATTAAGCTAATAGTGAAGTATTCAAAAGTATTCAAATAGTAAAAAGATATACAATTGTAAATGGACCACAATTATAATCATTCAATTATATGAATTTTTTTATTCTATTTCACAAGTTTTTTTATTTGTTTTGGAATGAAAGAGAAAATTGCATCCCAACTGATTATAAAAGGTCACATTTCAGAATTTTCAAAGACTTCTATAATTTCTGGGTAATATATTTTCTACTACTAGTGGGCCAATTCACTCATATTTTTTTAGTTATATTGAAATATTTTTAAGAAAAGTGGTTAATAATGCAAATTTTATACTTCATTACAAATATAAGGCATTTTTGTGAGGTTATATATTAAAAAAATATAAAGTATTTTTAATTTTATAATGTATAATTATTACTTTTTTTTAAAAAGTATCCTTAATTAATAAATAGATCGCTCAACTATTTAACTTTGTTGAGACACCTTATTAAATAAAAGCATACATGGAAAGAACTAAAGTGTATTGGGTCTATTGGAAAGAGTTAATTCCTCACAATGTGACAAATTAAAATTTGAATTTCACCAAAAAGGTGCACACATTTGGTGCTTTAGTTTAAAGATAATTAACTAACTTATTAAATTTTTTATTCAATTAAAAATTTCTTATATTTTTTAATAGTGGGTTTTCGTATTAGATGCATATTGGACACAGTTTGTGAAGTATAAGATATTTTTTTAGTAAAATAATGAACATAAATAAAGTTTATTTAATACATTTTGTAATTTGATTTTTTAAAAACACTATATAATTTTTTTAAAATATCCTTAATTTAATATATCATCTTATTTTTGAAATATTAAATAGAGAAAGAAAATATAATAAAGATAAAAAAGATAATATTAAAATAAGTATAATTAATCAAACTTTATTTTTATCAAAGTATCTTGTATTTAAGGATACCAAATTACTTTCAAAAATATCTTATAAAGTTAGAAGTTGTTAAGTGTGCTTTATTGTTAGCAGGGAGCAACAGCCAACATGTTTTTTTTTTTTGGGTCTTTTAAAACTGAACTTAAAATCTTTTGATCCTTTGAAAAATTTATTAAAGTGATTAATGATCAATATTACCACTTCCTCCGTTCCTAATTCGTACAAAACAAATTGTAGAATTTGAGGAGTAAACTAATATTTGTTCAACAGGCTGCATCAAAAATACATGACCAACAGGCATTGATCCTAATGGAAGAAGTTATAATTGCTTAAATACAAGGTTTTAAGCTTGAGTTATTGTGAATTTAGAAAATGCGTTTGAAAAAATCATTTTCAATTAGATTTAACAATGCTTGAATTTGACTCCCTCAAATATCATATAAAAAAAATTAAAGAAACATATAGAAACATGTCTAAGACATAAAATAGTTTTATTAGTACATGAGAATTATATAATTTTGTTCTATGATTAGAAAGGGAAGGAGTACAAGTTATAATTAAATTCTATTTATAAAATGAAAAAAAATTCAGAAATTTATCTCACCTCAATAATTATACTAATTAACCAAAAAAGAAATAGTAAAAGAAAAGCAATTGAGTACCTTTCAAACTTATGTCTTAGCACAGACACCCCTTGCCATAACTAAAATTAACAGTCCATTTGCTAATTAATTCCCATCACTTTCATGCTTAAATTAAAGGCAATAATAATTCACCGATTAAATTAAAAGTTGACCCATTTATTTCATTGTTCTACAAAGCAAGCAAAGAATATTTTTCTACTTATTCCTCTGTGGACCCTTATCCGTAATTAAATCGATCTCATTTTAATCTTGTAAAACGACTCTTCACCCTCACTGATCTCCTTTTGGTATAAAAATTA